TTATGCTGTGACAACTCATCTGCAAACTCAGTTTTACAAAGGAAAAACAGGAGGAAGAGAGAAGAGACTCGTGGCCAGTGTATGGCAATCAGAGAGATGCAAGATAAACACAGCGGCCCACGGGACAGATAAAGAAAGTCATAAATGTGAAGCAGAAATACCCAACACAAGTTCCACAGATAGGGATACTTCCCCAGTAGGATAATATTCACATGATTCAACTTTCTAGAGCCTAATTTAGCTAGCTTAGGCTACCACAATCAATGAAGAGAAAAAAATCCTCTAAAAGGAGATTCAGAATAGCAAACCTTTATTACAGGTGGTAATTAAGCACAGACTGGCAGATTATATGAATACTTCCTCTGACTCTGTCTTTGTTACACCAGTCTACACCTAGAGACCCATTTTATGCCATGACGTTATACGTATGAAAATGGCACGTAATAGGCCTGTTATGCTTTTGATCTATACAAGCGAGGCTGAGAAGAGAAAAAAAGTGTAGTTAATTTGAGGTCCAGCTGTGAATCAGATGTATAATCATAAGGGATAGGGTCTGTCCAGCCCTATCCACACCGCATCTTGCCCCAGCACCTAAAGCTGTCAAGAGCTGCAGGTTAAACAGCTCTTCCTCCGTCTTCCACCTCACACAAACAAAGCCTAGAAGGATGTGTTTGTTCTATGGAGCAACGTCATCCTGAAAGCCTCTCAATAAGTATGAGCAATTGCAAATTACTTCGAGGAGTTTTCAGCAATCTTTAAAATACTCCCCATGTCACCAGCAATCTTTAAAATACTCCCCCATGTTACCAGGGTTTGGTAACTCCCCAAGCAAAGACAGCGTACACTGATCACATTGGGTATTTTTGTCTGCTTGGCAGCACTGTGCGATCGGGTCAGCAAAAGTCCTGTCCAGAAAGCAGTAACTCCTGTCCAGAGCAGCCTACATTTGTTTCCCTAGGCTGCAGACAACTGGCACTGTAATGCCATTCGAAGCTTAACATGGAACACACTGGCACATTCACACTCTAATCCTCCCCTAGTTACTCACTCAAACGGTGTTTGAAATAACAGAGAAGAGACCATATCCTTCACCACTTACAAAATTAGGAAAGAACCTACGGCTACAGAAGTCAAGGAGTCCAAGAGAGCACGGATTTGGGCTAAGTGCTTTTGCTATTCCAGCTCATAATGCCAAAACCTCAAGCCTCAGTACTAGAGTTGGAGAAAAGTTTATAGTGGCAATTCAAAAACTAAAAGTCACAGATGCAATGACATTGCCTCATCCAAATGGCATCTTGCCCGTCCGTGCATTTTACAGCATTTGTTCTATCTGAAGAAAAACTGATCTAAATTTATGGTTCCCAGACACAGAGTACGCTAGAAGGAGAACAGCAGGAGACTTACCAGCATCAGGCAGTAACCAAGAGTGACAGCTCAACTAATAAAAAAATACAGAAAACTAGAATTTAGAAGAAGCCGAAACGCTGGTAACAGAGTAACATGGCACAGTACTTTTTTTGGCAGCAGTATTTCACAGAATTCTGGATACCAGTAGCGGCTTGTAAATTGCTTTAATTGAGGCAAGAAGAAAATTCCAGCCACATACCATTGCAATTAACTTTCTAAAACTGAAATTACCCTGATTAAGCGCTAAGTACCTACTTCTAAGGTTGGGATTGGGTTTTTTTAGGTTTCCTTTTGGGTTTTTTTGCACATCCATGTATAATCACACATACATATGCAGGTGTACTGAAGATGGAGACAAACGTCCATTGACACCTCGCACTTCCAAACTTTACAGAATGCCTTGTAGATTAGAAGAGACAATTGCATTTGAAAAAGCAGAGGTTTACTGATGACAGTGAAAATAGTCCCATCTTTATCTGGAGAGGTAACATCAAGCTACCAACAAAAACTAATAGAAGTTATTTAAATATTTCAAAGTGTTATTTAAATATTTCAAAGTAAGCCTGCATTTCCCTGGGCAGTTCTGGAAGAAAAATCCTTCACCTCAGTAAAAATGTAGCTACACTTTATTCCTCTAACTGGAGAAAACACAAATGACAAAGATGGTTAAATACAAAATTGAAAGGTATTTCCAGAAGGATTTTAAGTATAGAATTCTTTCTTTAAAACACCAATAGCTGTTGACTGCAGGTAAACACTGAACAAAGAGAGCAGAGAACTTTTGAATCAAAATACCATCTTCTTATATTTTAAGTATTATGCCAATGGGAACTATCTTTTACATAGCTTAAAGGAAAAGGATACTGGTGTGAGCCTGTGCGGCTAAGACCATGTGCTGCTGGTTAAACCCTTCAAGCAGTCAAGAGCCAGAAGCCCCCATCAATTCCTCAGAGATCCATCCGAGGGCCAAACCGGTTCAGCGGCCGTCCCGCTCCCCTGCAGTCGGGCCCGGAGGAGCGGAGCAGCCGACCGCTGCGGCGACCTGGCGGCAGGAGCCTCTGCAGCCTCCCAGGCAGGACTCGGGTTATGGCAGCAGTCACGTTGGCTTAGTCCCCGTGCGGGAACCTCATGTGAACTGCTTACGAGATCCAGAGGGTTCACCCTTCACTTAGGCACACCTGTTACAAACAGTTATTTACAACTGGTGACCAGTGGCATGACAGAACTGTTCTCAGAAGCAAGTTATGGATCAGGTAACACTACGCCGGGGAGAACACTCCCTTGCTTTAGAGACTAGTAATTACCGACGGGAAGTACAAGTTCTGCTGCTTGATATGAAATGTAGCTAATACGTGATATTCCTTCCAGGGCTTGGAAGGAAGATGGCTGAAACAATATGCAGAAGTTTCTCAACAAGTTTATATCCTGCAGGTTCATTTCCGCCAGCTTTACCAAACAGCAACGAATAGCCACTGCAGCAAAATTTGACAAAGGCCACCTGAAACAACCCTCAGAATCCCTTATAAATATCAACGTAACAGAAGTGTTATTCTAGTGCTGTTTTCTTCCGTAAGTATGTTGCCAAAGAAAACAGATTTAAGAAATCAGTATTTTCTAGATAGCACGTCCACTTCCGGTCAACACCAGCAGGAACTAACAGTTAGAAGACATATTTTTTTTCCTCTTATAAAATAGCGACCATTAGCTACATGGAGCTGCCGTATCTAGAATGAGATCCTGAGACTTAATCTACTTATGCACAATGTTTCTCAGGGAAGATCACAGCTGCTTCCTCTTCAATCAAGCGACAGGAATATTTACCATATGGAAGATCCTACCCTATCCAGCAATTAACAAATATTCCTAGGCAAGCATTGTGAAAGGAATATTCAACCACCTCTAGATACAAGGAAGTTCCCACTCCTTAAAGTGAAAATTTGCAATTGCTGTGTAGAACAACAGAGGTAAACACCGCAAGATACATTGTAAAACATCTTATAACTCTTAACAGCTCTCATTCACTAACTTTAAGGTATATCAGACTACTTCCTTTCTAAAAGAAATGGTCTAAATATGCCTCAGAAATGGAAACTTTTAAGGCTCTAGGTATTTTAACTATTACCTTATAAATATTTTTACATGTAAACAGTAATAGTCACTACAAATATACTTACTTGTACATTTATTAGCTATATTATTTTTAGTGGATTGGATCAAGTATTGTTTTAAAATGCTATTTGTAATGGATTGCTTTGCAGACAGGCACAGGAGATACTCACAGGTGAATTAAAATCCCATTCATACCTACACCTTTCACAGAAGTCAGCCATCTGAAGTGCTGCACCATTTCTCAAGTTAACCTGTTAAAAGGGCAATTAAGACACATCCCTTCCTCACTGGAGTCACCAAAGAAAAACGTGAAAACAATTCCAGGATCTGCAAATACCTTTCAAGGTACTATGATAACCTTCCATGGACTAGTAATCAAAATACTTTTAATGTCAGTTTGACCTGTGTTTTAGACAGATCCTCTCAAGTTGATGCTTGTTTTCTCAAAGTCAGTCAAAAATAGGTGTGCAGTAAAGATTCCATGTTTAAGTCAAGCTGAAAACTGCTTCAGCAGTCTCATGCTTGCTACAGCCACACGGAAGTCTTCCCTTCCAAAGCAAGAATTAGAAGGAAGTTTCTCTTTCACAATAGGCTGGCAAGTTTTGTCGTTGTTGCTGTTGTTTTGGGTTTTTTAACTGAAGACACCAGATGCACATGTTTGGTGCTTTCCTACAGACTGAGAAATTGCAGTTGCTTCACGTGTGTCCCTTCTAACTTGAGCTGAACAAATCAAGAGGTTAGTGGATGTCATTGCTCTATCCTTACAGGTTAGTAGCAAAAAAAAGTGCTAAAAAATCAAGTGAAATTTTAATCCTGTTATTTTGTGCAATTTATGGATAGGTTTGCATTTGTATTATTGTGATTTTTTTTTAAAAGCACAGTAAACCAAAATATTTTCAAGGCCTGACAGTTCAAAACACTGAATGTGTAGCCACTGATCGATTTAAGTGTTTAACACCAATTTGATGTTTTATCAGATTTTGAAATTTTTAGTCTAGTATATCCTTAAAATTCAGATCATGACAACATTTTGGTTGCCACGGGAGATTCTGTTGAAGTTACATTGACAGAACAGCTGTAATTATTTACTGTGAATATCTTAGAAGTGGCCAGTGAAATAAAGCGTTTAGATTCCTTAACAAACCCTTAAGAACCAGGTCACTGAAACCACTGTTTAACTTATTATATTACATGCTCACTGTCATATAAGATCTTAAAGAAATGGAATGGGATGGTAAATAAACTGTTCATTCTACTAGTTTTAGACAGTACCTCTGGTGTCACAGGCAGCATGCTTTTAGAGACACTGATTTAATAAACTTAATTACCTTATGCTCATGATACATCAAGGAAACACCTGAATTAGTTTTCACTGCAGGACAAGCTCCATTAGGAGCACTGACATCTGTTCCTAACGTTCTGCAGTAAGAGGCAGAGTTCTAGAACCCACAACGCACGCGCACAAACCGCATTCATAGGTTAACCTTGTACTGCAGCAGCTTCTGAATTAGCAGCAACTTCCAAATTAGCAGCAGCTTCCTGCTGTGCTTCCTCCACAGCAGGGGGTGCATCTGGAGCCGGTAAGTCATTCTCCCCTCCAGTTTCTGGGGGTACCCCAGCCCTCTCGTCCTGTGCTGCGGGTGCAGCAGCAGCTACCGCATCAGCCTCTTCCGTGGCTGTCTCTGCTTCAGTGACTTCAGCCGTCTCTTCTTCATCACCTTTTAAGGATTTATTTAATATAATAGAGAGAGTAAAGTGCATGCATGCAACACAAATTCACTGACTACTTTTTACCATCATCCTCATTTCAATTTAAAATGAAAAGCTAAACTTTGGGATCAGAATTCACAAAGTCAAGAAAACAATAATTAATCCCCCCATATTGTCTAATGTGGCACCAAAAAAAAGACGTTTACAAGATGAGGAAACCATATTCTTAATTACTGAGTTTCATAACTGCTTCAGTGTAATAAGGAAATAAATTGTGGCTTAAAGCAGGTGATTGCAAGAGGTGGGAGTGTAGGGAAGGACAGAAAAGGACCCCACCAAGTGTTGCTCCAAACCCACTCTGCTGAAAGGACCCGTGATAACGCATTCATGGGCATCAGAGGGAGCAGAGTTCTTGCCCTGTTCGCACCCAGAAGTGGAATTACCACACTGGGAATAAGACATTTGCTACCACACTTAGAAGCCCTTCTGGAGTTTACTATCCATCGGGCTCACAGCTTAGAAGCACTGCAGGCCAAGGTCTGCCTTCCATTTGTGCAGGACTATTTTCAAGGTGGCTGATTTGGCTGGCAATAGCTACAATAATGCCAAGCCTGACAAGTGATTAGTTTTCAGATGGATTTTGTGCCATCTCTTAGCTCCACGCTGCCGCCACAGGTACTCTGCTACCCCTACTCACCCCACCTTCTTTAAAGCTATACTGAATGCCCTGTGACCCCTGAAAGAGCCATAGCACTCACGTAAGAAAGGTAACGTCTGCAGGGCAGAATAAAACAGAGGACCATTAATTAAGCTAGGTGTACCTAAGTAAGAAAATAACTTGCTAATTTTAAGTGGCCAGCATTCATTTTGCTGGAGATATGACCACTTATGACTGACTTTTCTTTTTACGAGTCCCAGCTGTCTCTGAAAGACTTGTCTACACTGCTGTGCATCAGACTCTTTAGAATCTGAAAAACCCGGTGTTTCCCAATCATGCATAACTTCAGACTCTGCTGAGACAAGTCTTTAAAAACTAACAGCACAAAGCAACAAAGATGCACAATCACCATGCAAGCGTGCACTAAGCTCAAGTTAAAGAAAGCAAGCTATACACCAAGTGTTCATTGCAAGTTTACCACTAGAACCAACCCACCATGTGAAAAAACAGAACTGGAAATAAAGCTTGTAATACAGTGTAAACTAAGTGAGAACAAAAAGGAAAGGGAAGAGCTTAAAGAGACATAGTCAGAATTTATTTTATTCTTTTATATCTGTTTAAAAACTGAACAGATCGGTTTTAAATTTTTGTTTTCTTATGCTAGCGCAAGCTATCTTTTTGTGTCCAGGTTTAAACACAAGTCTATTCATGGCTCAGTAAAAATCGAAGCTTTCTATTATTCAACCTGATATGTCCCTTTAAGAGAATGCTATATTTCAAAAAACCTAAATTGATTACACAAAGAACAGACTAACAGCCAAGCTCAGCATTCAGTACACTTTATTGGACAGTCAAATAGAGAGTGCATTCATTCAGAACAGCCAGCTTCTCGATCTCAGAACTGCCTTCTACAAAGCAGATTCAGTAATAAGCTCAATATGGTTTGGCCTTGCAAACACAGGTAGATCTTTTAAAGTCTCACAAGTATGGAGTTTTACAATAGAAGGTATAAAGTCATCCCAAGGTAGGCTGCAAGGTACGCAATGGTGAACGACTGTCCTTTGTTTGTATTTAACTTCCATGGGTTTGGAAAGAGATTTCCCTTGTATTTTAGTCTGGAAAGTGTAAAAGCAGAGTATAGATTAGAAATATTGAATCAGCTTGCATCAATTTAAAAAGAAAAGTCATAGCTAAAAAAGAAGGAAGTCAGGAACAAGTTTAAAGGAAACACATGCAAATGGAAGACAAAACTCAGTATTTGCTGAATAAGCAAGTAAAATGTTCTGCAAGGTAAACATCATTTTACAGTTCAAATGATGTCCCAGATTTCCTACTGCTACTTCGAGTCAGGCTTCTACCAGGGGCTTTTGTAAATCCCTTCCTAAATTTGAAAATAGCTTTCAGTTAAGAAGAGCTACACAAAATTTGCTATTGGGGCTTTTTTTGAAAGTCTGATATAATTAATTAAAATACCATTAAACAGAATGTCAACCCTCCAATAAACAAACAGGCCTAGAATAGCATTTGATTGTTTCTCTTTGTTTTGACAGCCTTGTTTGCTCCATGCAGTTCTTTATAACCAACATTTTGGGTCTGGGCACAAGGGGAGAATTTTCCTCAGGATGAGAAACCACAAAAATCACTCATATCAAGGAGGTCTCTCTCTGATCAGCTGCTGCCTAGTATTAAGTTTTTCCAGCTAGAAAGTTCTTCTCTTACCACAGGACATGTAGCAACTATGCCATGAATGTGGTGTTTGGCATTCTGCTTTTCTATCCACCACTTCCTATTATTACCAGCACTGGTTTATAGCTTATTTTAAGCTTGATTTTATGTGTTCCTTAAAAAATCTAGATTACTTCAAGACGAGAATTTTTAATTGCTCTTATCAGCAATGCTTACTGTGAAAGAGCATAAGGACTACCTGAATCTAAAGAGTGTGTGGGGAAAGAAGCTGCAGTGGCATTTCTGGGAAAAGCAATACTAGGGTAGCACTCTGTGACAAGATAGACACAAAAATATGACTGTGCAGCAACAGGGAAAAAGGGGGGGAAGAGAGACGTTAATTCTTTTGAGAAAGCACACAGAAGATTCCAGAGGAAAAATAAGAACAGAAATCTCTTTTGGGAGGATACAGTTGGGAATGGTGAAGGATTTTAAAAAGAGCTGATTCAACAGTAGTTTTGTATTGTGAATTGGAATTAGCAACTCAGAAGTCCAGTTAAAACCTCTGGGTTGAGCATTGATTCAGAAGTCCAATATTGAAAATAATATAGGAAATCAGGTTCACTGTATGGCCTTAGAAATGTTTTGGACTTCATCCAGTCAATAAGAAGGGAGGCAGCAATCATCTGCCATTGGTTGTGACATTTATGTAAAGTTACTAAGCAGCACAAAGCATCAGATTATGGGATGTCTGGAGAGTACCTGAAGTCAGAATTAAGGAAGTTAACAGAGCACTGAGTACTCTTACCCCAGTCTCAGGCAACACAGGTATAGCCTTCAGTGGGTCAACAGCACCACTGACTCTGCAGGTATCCCACTCAAACATTTTGGTAGACTAAGGTTAAAGCTCAGTACCTTGCAGAAGTGAACCTTAAGAGAAAAGAGGGAATATACCGGGATCACTTGAGTGCCCTAAAAGCTCTGCTTAATGCTTTCACATCTACAATGTTCTTCTGACTATGCTAGTCAGAAGGTAATGAGTGTATCCCTCATGTCTTCCCTGAACAGCAGACTCAGTCACTGGGAGAAAAAACCTGCTTTGGTCCTGGTTAGATTTCTTATTTTAGGGACAAGGAAGGATTGCATTAAAATTGTGGCCAAATTCTCAGCATTTAAAAAATTGAATTTAAAACCTGTATTGCTTCCAGCTACTTAAGAGAAAGGAAATTAAGGTGGTTTTGCCATTTTAAATCATAAAATCTGTAAATTTTAAGTTCTAAAACTAGAGGACGTGTTGTGGAACTTCATGATTAACAACTTCAAAAGAAATCATTTTAGAGGCGGACAAATCAAAGCCTGTTCTCACACTGAAAACAAAACTTCAACTCAGCACACTTTATTCAAATCTATTCTTTGTGTGCATGCAAATATATTAAATCAATTCTCTATATGTTAACATCAGAAAAAATAAGGAAGAGCTTCAACTGCTATGACTTCATTAATTCATTTTTTTAAAAAAATAACAACTAAATAAAAATATAAAGATCCCTAAGAAGACATTTTTTCTAATTGCTTTTCCTAGCAAGGCCATGCTTGCCAAAGTTCTATCTTTTATATTAATGCCTCCGTAACACTAATTGATGTAGACAGAGACAACATTCCTTTACAAGTATTTGAACTAACATGGTCTAATTATTTGAGCATGAAGAGCTAAGTAAGGATTTGCCATACATTTAGGTGGTGTCTGCAAGTCATTTAATCCTAAAGTAAAAGGGACAAAATCAAAGCTGTGGGACAAGAATAGGTCCAATTTACAATATTTTTTCAAAAAGTAGTTTTTCCTGTTGAATTGTGATCCCTGATGGCATGTGGCCTGGAGCCAAACTGTTAACTGAGAAAAAGATACTATCTTCTTCCCTCCCAACAAACAAAGGAACAAAACTGATTTTGACAGGATTATGCATTTAGTCAAGGTTCATTCAGCTTCCAGTAAATCAAATGCAAATACCCAATATACAATTAACGGTTCATACATCAACTCTTTCCATCCAGAGAGACCCCTTGATCACAGGCCAGATTCACTGCCTCAACGTTAAATCCATTCCCAAAATTTGTGCAGGTGGAGCTTTGTCACAACCACCTTTGTCTTTACTCCCACTCACAGAGCTCAGACAAGGACCTGGACAGGGTTAAGGCCCGATTAGACAATCCAGAAAACTGTTCCAGATCCTCTTGTACCCGGGGAACTAGAGAGAAGAGCTCAACTCACCCTTGCTTGACCAAGGTTTGTTTTTCCGCCCTTCAGCTCTCTCCTGAAGAATATTCAGATGTTCAATATACTTGGTGCGGGATGAAGTGACTACTCTGTAGGCCTGAAAGGAAATTATACCTAAACTTATTGCTACATCCCTACAAAGTTGCTAAACAAAAAGAAGGGAGAGGGAGACAAGGGTTTTTAAGCAAGTGCTAGTCCTCATCTTAAAAAGAATATCAAATTATGCTAAGTAAGGTTAAAAAAAAAATCTATTTTGATATCCTAACATATTTGTCCATTTCTTATTTCTCCACTGTCAGAAAGCAAGCTTTCAAAGTGCTGCAGCATTTCAGGAATTGAATACGGTATTTTAAAAGACAATTGCAGTCAGATTATTTTAAAAAAAATACTACGGTAAAAAGGTGACAGCAGGAGAATTTGTTATTCCTACAGATATGCAATCACAGTAGTTTGATATTTTGAACAAGTAGAAGCTACTTACCATTCAAGAGGATTATTTTGCGGGAGAAGGAAACATGTACCCCTCGGGGATGTGCTAGTCACTACCTCACTATCTCAGATCTTGGGAGGGAGTGGAAGGAAGCTACAAGATGGAGGCTTTAGGGACGTGAAGCACAGAGTCTGACATATTTATATGCAGGGAAGAGAATGATTACCGAAAAGCCTGACAAAAGTAGATGTTTACAAAAGTTTAACATGCTTTTTCTAAGTAACGTATTTATTTTTCTTTGTGCCTCAATTAACAAGGTTCATAATCCTCCCTTTGCACCTTTCAGTCAGCTTAGTTTACATCTGTCTTGCCCACTTTGATGTATTTTTAATGTTTGTGGTTGACAAGAAGAGGCAAGGGGTTAGAGGCAGGTGGCTTACTCCCTCTTTGGACACATTCATTTCACAGAGTTTTAAATATATTTTCCACTAAGAATGACAAAAGTAGATATCAAACTAACCGCAGAACAGGCAAACAATAGGCATTCAGTTTCACTAGTTCACTTGAACTGATTTTTAAGTTAGACTGTGTTTAGTTATATGGTACAACAGCCACATTCTATTGACAATTTGCGACTTGACCATATTCTTTGACCCAGAATACACCTTATACCATGCTAACTCAGAGGGCGCAAACATCCCCATTCCCAAACACTTACATAAAATAAACCACCAAAAGCAGCAACACCAGTTAGGAGATAGTAAATCATGTTCTCTCCAGAAGAGCCAGGAACACTCCCAGATGACATCTGGCGAAGAGGCGCTATAAAAACCATTATTGAAATTGATGTAAAGTGCAGCTAAAATATGATCACAAAACAGAATGATCGAATCTGAACGTTGTATGGGAAAGGATGATTTTAAAAAGGTGTAACAAAACAGAGAAGTACAGTTTAGCAATGTTTAGTACAACTGAGTAACACAGGGCATGGTGCCTAACTGAACCAGGTACATGGCTGAACTCCTAAAGAGTTTTCTGTGAACTACACTGTTTGCTTGTCCGCTTCCAACTACTGGAGGCGGTCTATACAGACTAAGAAACTACATAAGGATAAGGAATGTTAAAAAAAAAAAAAAAAAAGAGAATGTGAAAGAGTTCCCGCTTAAGGTATGCAAAAGAATTAATCTGTCCATCCACTTCAGTTTAGTAACAGAGCGCTTCACGAAAAAGTATTTTCCATTGAATGCATGTTCTTTCATTGTCAAATAGACTGCTGACATTTAGATACATGCCCAGAACCCATAACCTCAAGTACTGGCCAACAGGGCAGACAGGCAGGATTACACAATTCTACCCCGGAGCGAGTGCATATTCACTATAATAACAGTGTTAGCCATTTCTTTTTGTCCACTATTTCTGTAGTTTTGATGCTTGCTATAGCCTCAGATTCTTCTGTACCTCTCAAAAAGAGTCGCATGAAAAACACACGCAATTCTGTCGGTCAACAAAGCTTTCAGCTAAATTTCATGGCTTCATCCCAGATGAGTAGCGCAGATGAGAAACACGTCATTGAAATGCTGCTTGCTAAACATAAAATGGCTCTGAGCATTGCAATCGGTAGCTGCAAAAATAGTCTCAATCTCAAAATATAGCCACCATGGGCCAGATTATGTTCAGCATCATCTGTCTCATGACACACTTTTCGGACTCCAACAGTCTGGCATCCTAATGGATCTTCTTACATTTATATGTATGTTCTGTAGTAGGTTCTCATTAATCTCTTCTTCCCAAAGGCCGCACGTTATAGGCAGGGGCGCGCCCAGCGAGCCTGCAATCACCCAACACGGCCGGAATATGTTTTTTTGCTACTGGTTACACAATTCCTGATGCGCCAAAAGCCATGGCTGCCCCGCAGCGGGCCGATCCGCCCTCCCTCCCGGCCGAACGGGCCGCTGCGGGCACTATCCACCTAAGGGCTAGGGGATGGGGGTGTCACCTCTTCATTTTTTTGGTTGGGGGGTGGGAGTGAAGCCAACGGCAGCCTCGGGAGGGGGGTGACACCTGCCCGCCATCTTCCACGGAGCGGGGAGGGGGGGCACGTCCCA